ATAAAAAAATATTTTAAAATTTAAAAAATTCAAATTTTAGAATTGATAATAAATATAATTATTTTTTTATCTTAATATTTAATTAGATATAAATTATGATATGTATAGACAAAATATATTATATACATTTTTAATCAAATATATATAAATTACCTAATAATATTAATCCACTTATATGATCAAAGTTGCAATTGTTCTTTGGTTTTTAAATTTTATTTGAAAGAACTTTTAAATAATAATGATTTAATAAAATTATTGTTATTTGGTGTCAAAGTAAAAAATAATTAATGAAATAAAAATGACAACATGTTAAATTAGTAAAGAAGAAATGAAATTTACATATGACTAATATTTAGCTGTATCAAATGATGATTACAAGTAATTATCATATGTATATGAATAAACTATATGTGCAATGCACAAAAAAATATATATGTACAATAATCTTAAATTGTGTTAGCTTCAATAAAACTTTCATTTATAATTTTAAAATGTATGCACAATTATTTATTATAAAATCCATTTTCTAAAATAATACGAAAATGATTTTTTTGCAATCATGTACTTTTTTATTTATTTTTCATATTTTTTAATAAATATAATGTTTTCAATTTTTATTGATGTACATTTTTAGTATCAATTAGTTGTGCCTATTTTTTGTTAAAATTTATATCATGATATGTTGGATGATGAAGACAATTTTAATTTTTGTATCAATTTTGCATAAAATAAATTTATTTCACTTATTATTTTATGTCATAGTGTTAAACCTTTTATGATCAATTATCTCATTTTATAATTTCTCCATTTGATAAAAAAAATTTTTGAAGGAAGGGTGAGGCAGACGAGATGAATAAGAAGAAAGGCTTTGACATTTTCTTTTGCTTCTCTTTCTATCATTTTTACTTTCTTTTCACTTTTTTTTTTTTAAATCTATTCATACAATAAGATTTTTTTCTTTTTTTTTTTCTTTGACAATTCTTCCAACAACGCAAAAGCTATCTATACAATAAACCTAACCTACCTCTTCCATTTCTTTATGTCGTCTCTAATCTCAATTTAGGTAATAAAAATAAAAATAGAAGTGGTCTCTTAGATTTAACCCTAAAACATTCCTCAGTTTTCTTACTTTCTCTCAACTTTTTTTCCTTTTCCCTGTTTGATTTTCAAAAAAAAAAAAGGGGGTTGATTTTTTTGTGGTAATGATGACATTTGCTTCAATCTCAGTTCACCAATTTGTTGTCATTTTTATAGGTGTTCGTTGGGTGCGTTAAGGACTGGAAAGTTGTTTTCAAGTGGAGTTTTTCTAATGGTAGCGTTGACTATTTAGAGATTTTCTCTTCAATCCTTTCTTCTTTGTTTTTTACTTCTTATTATTTTCTTTTTGAGTAAAAATATTATTTTGTTTATAAGTTAATTAATTGATGGTTAGTTTTTTAAAATATTATTTTTTATTTTTAATTATGATTTTTATGGAAGTAATTGGATAAATTTTTAAGATGGAAGAGAACTATGAACAAGCTGAAGAACATTTATGTTGAAATTTTTTGTGATTGTTTTTTTTTAATTTACATGTGTGAATTCTGAAGGCATGAATGCCTTTTGATTTTCTTCAACTCCCAAAAATTGAAACCGTAATCCATTAAGTTTTGTAATGATCTAGCAAACTATCTGTCTCTTTCAAGCTTGGCCTCATGCAATCCCCTTGGTACTGCTTTTACATGTTTTTTTTCTTAGCATGACATGGAAGTTTCAAAAATTTCTTGATGATTTTGAACTTTTGTGAGAAATACCCAAAATAAATAAGATTATGGTTGGTATCATATTTTCTTAATTTTGTGAATGTACAATTATCGATGAAAAAAAGAGAGAAAGAGATGAAAATTTGGTGTTGAAAATAGATAATTCTAATCCATTTCCTGACAGCAACAATATGATGCAAAACAGATACTCTTCACTTTTATCATTTGTAGTGAATGGTATTAATAGTACAGTACAAAATTAATGGCATCAAGTGCTGAACTGGATGGTCCCATCAAATATTAAATTTATGACTTTTTTTTTTTTTTTTTAATTTTGTAAGGTTTTAATTTACAAAGGATTTTTAAAGAGCGAGGATCATGATCAACTTTTTACTCTAGTAAGCCACAATTTTATTTTTTAATTTTCTTGAAGAATTTTTATTTAGTATAAAAAGATACTTAGTTAAAGCAACAATTTCTCTTCGTTAATGTAATAAAGGAATGTTGTTACTTGGTCACCATGTCCACATTTCATTATTGAATTATTGATTAGAATTGTAGAATTTACAAGTAAACAGAATCACCTCTTTACTACCTGATTTTATTTTTTGAGAATTCTTTTGGCTAAATTAAAAGTACGTAATTTATGCAATTAAATCTTCATATAGTTTTTGAAAAAAGGATGAAGTATGTGGCTTTATAGAAATATATAATGAACCTTGAAACTTTGGAATTGTTTTAAACTCAACGACAATTATAATCTAAAAAGCTTAGCACAAATTTGATACCTTGGTGTACTTGGTTGTTCTTATTCAGATTAAATCAGAAGGCCCCGACGAAAATTGGCTTTCACATTACTCAAAATGCAACTATTTTGATTTCATTGCCAATCATTTCTCTTAGCAAGAGCTCAATTCCAACCTTAATATGACCAAATATAGTAGATAGTCTTTCATCATAACAAAAGATTATTTTTATGCTTTCCATCTGTCAAATTGCTTTAATTTCTAAATGGATTTGTACTATTTGTGTGTATGTGTGTATGTATATATATATATATATATATATATATATATATATTGAGATAATAGTGAAAGAGTTTCAGGCAATCAAGTTGATCTTATACTCTGTCTTTTGTGCTTAGGATTAATGTAGCTTGGGAATAAGCAATGTAATATTGTTTTTTTTTTTTTCTTTTTTATGTATTTCATGAGCTAATCCACGCAATCAAAGTTACAAATTTTTTAAACCAATGTCCATGTCGCACCCCACTTCCCCATATATATATATATTTTTTTTTTGCTCATTTGGATTAATAAAAACTAAGGAAGCCAATAATTTTATCTTTTTTTACCTCAAGAATCATATCTCTCCCCTCACTTTTTCATGCTTTTACTTTTTTTTTTTTTTCCATTTTTATTTAGAAAAGAGAAAGAATAAAACCAGGTAGTAATAATTTTACAAGTGGAATGTATAGATTTTTTTTCTTTACATTTTTGTTTTTCGATTATAAATTGAAGATCAGAGTTTTATTTTTCTTGAATTCTATGGATTTGAAGATTTTATAGTTTATTTATGGCTTTTTAGTTGCTATTTTTTTTATGTTTGTGTTTGTTTTGTTGATTCTTTTCTCGCATGATCTTGATTTTTTTTTCCTTTTTTTCTCTCTCAGTTCATGTATTTGTAATAGTTTTTGTATCTTTTATCTTCGTTAATAAATTTGAAGGTGTTTCAAGCACAAATTTTAATGCATTCAGTTTGAACTCTATTAAAACAAAACTAAATTTTCATTTATGAACTTAATAGATCTTATTGAGCTTATCAAGTTGTCTATTATTGTGATATTTTACTTACCAATAATTTGACATCTACAAAATATGTATTTATAAATTAGTATATGTGCTACAAGTTGACAATAGAATTTAGGGATTTACTGATCTAGACCATGATTTCAGGTACTGAGACATGTCAATGTCAATCCACAAGGTAAACTTTCTTGTCCCTCGTGCTTACCTAATTTGCTTTCATTTTTCTTTTGATTTTCCTTTTTCACCTAATTAACAATGTAAATCAAATCACTGCTAATGATAAAATTGCAAAGCAAGTTCGTCGTCTTAAACACCGAAAATTCAAATAACTCAAATATTTTTTGGTGATACTGTGCCTTCACGCCCATCGCCATCATCAACCATTGTCACCAAATTTAATCCTAGCAATCCTATTTTCATCAACATGGCATACATCATTTTGCTACTGGCGAGATACTATCAATAGACTAAATGAACAAATGAAGACTTTATTTTACCCTTTTTCTTTTTACATCAAATCACAGTGCAATTTTCTTGGTTAGAGGAATAGACATCATTAAAAAAAAAACCATAAGCATTTTCCATTGTCCCTGGAATTGTGTCTGACAAATATTTGTGCATCTATTACTGCTCTTGCTTGCTCATCTTATATTTGCTTTCATTGTTTTCATTTGATTTATTTTTAACATGAACTACTTTATGTGGGCTATTTGTTTGTTGTTTGCTGCTATATGTTCTCGTTATTTTTAGTTGCTATTAGTTTGAAATTTGAGACTTTTTTAAAAGTATAGCCAGCACTCACATGTAACGGGTTGTAGTTTTGTATTTGAATGAATTAAATAAAAATATATTAACCTTCAGTAATTGTATGTTAAAATTTGAGTTTTAAGAGTTGTATTTCATCTTTGTCAATAGATTTATAGTTCAAATTTGTTGTTCACTTATTGAATACTAACTTTTTAGGCAAAATTGAAATAGGATTTCAAACTTAAAAAAACGGATTTTTTTTAGTGTGAGATTAATGATGCTGTATGGTTTTTTTAATGTTTTAATATGCCTTACAAATTTTTTAATGTATGATGCTACTTAATTAATTGTGCAATTATTTGTTGATGTTAATAAAATAATAAAAGAATGGTAAATATACAATTCGATAGTCTTTTTTGACTCCTGCAGCAATGAACGGGCATTCCGCTAGTTACTATTATGATTATTATATATTGTCAGACTTGGCATCGGTCCATACAAGAAATAAGAGACCAGAGTACAACTCAACGGAGGTATTTGATTTGCTACAGTGGGAATCTTGATGGTTCAAAATTTCCTCAGGTAGGAAGGGATCTTGATTTATTTCCGCCCTTTTCAATGGGGCAAAAAAAAAAAAAAAAAAAAACCCTAGCATAACGTAGTCGTTTTTTACCTCTATAAAAGTCCATTTCAATACTCAAAATACTTTCAACTCATCGCCATATTATTAAGAGGAACTTAAAGGAATCCACGTTCTAGCATTGAAATTGAAACTAGGCAAACCAACAGTATAGCATGCTTATTGAGATATCTAACCTCAAAAGACTTGAAATATTTACTCAACAGAAAACTCGAACAACATGGTGTGTTGGTACTTGTTACCAGGTTGAACAACAATTGACGGGAAGTTTGGTTGGTTTATGGCATTTGGAAATCCCTGTGTCTCCAAGCATAAGCCTGCATGCTTGTTATAGACAGCACCTCCTTTCCCAACAACTCCATTCACATAGTTAGCAGTGTAAAATTGCATCCCAGGGGCATTGGTCCACAATCTAAGGACCCTTGAGCTTGATGGGTCTTTCACTGTGGCAGCATGTTTCAAACCCGATTTTTCTTCCCCACCGCCAAGAACATAGTTATGGTCATAACCCAAACCTACCTCATGGATTGAAATACCAACCTTCTTCTCAGCAGTGAAGTCAAAAGGGGTGTCTTTAACAGGTATGATTTCACCAGTTGGCACCGTATTCTCATCAACAGGAGTGATATGCGATGCCCATATCTGAATTGAATGGTCAAGTATGTTCCCTGAGTTGTGGCCTGCTAAGTTCCAGTAAGTGTGTTGAGCTAAGTTAATTGGAGTGGCCTTGTTCTCAGGCACTGCTTCCATGTCAAGCTTCATTGTCATGCTTGAAGTTAGAGTGTAGGTTGCAGTCACAGAAACATCACCTGGGTAACCTTTAACAGGAAAACCGGAATATTAGAGAGAAATAGAAATAAGTGTGACAATAAGAGAGAGGGACAGGATGGGAACTTACCCTCCTCACCATCACTGCTGTGATATTTAAAAGTAATGGATGGGTTTTCGCCTTTCTTGTATTCTGCCACCTCCCATATTTTCTTGTCAAAACCCTTGAATCCACCTAGAGGAAAGAAACAAAGGAATGAAAATTGAATGCTTTATATATTCATAGACCAGATGTTTCTAAGCAGGAACAATAAAAATTGGGATATTAGTTTACATCTGAAATTGGTGTCAGAGTCAGGCAATCCACAGCAAAACTATTCATTACCAGTAAAAGCCAAAACTATTATATTTAATATATGTAACATAGGTGAGATGGCTGCTCTAAATTTGTTCTCTCTATTTTACGTCTGTCACTTTTCTGTACCTAAAGAAGATGCACGTCTGCTTAGCAAATGATTGTATAAACAAGACATATATGAACTCTTCCAATTCATTAAAGTCCTCAAAAGTCACAACAGCAATACTTTAACGAAGCAGGAAAAAAAAAAAAAAAGGAAGAGCACTTCTATTCAATGTTTCTTTCTTTCCACTTTTTCCTGTTCTGGAAATTCTCAGGTTTAATATCATTCTATGCAACCAAAATAGTCATTTTCTATAATATTAATATTTAACAGCAGCTTTATAATCTGTATGAAAACAGAAGACATAAAATAAAAAAGTAACATCATGAATATAACATCTTGTTCAATTTTATCTTTACAAAATAAAGTATTATGAGGTAAAGTTTTTGTTTTAAGAAAGAAAACATACAAGGGGAAAAAAAAAGAAATGCAAAATTAATTCACCAAGACAATCCAAATTAATAGATAGAGCATAGAGCATAGTTAAAAGAATGTTTTGGATTTTTTGCTCCCGTACAGTTAAAAGTATATGATATAAAATAAAAACATAATTATTGTCCGTTGCAACATCCCCACAACCGATTGAAGCATGCAGAAAATCAGTTTTAATAAAGTTACTGCAGTCTCATTCTGGTCATCGAAAATTATGAGAAAAGTCTTTTATTATTCAAGAGTTGATGGGAAACATTAAAGACCAAAACAAAAATTCCAAATAAGAATGAAAGTTCCTTATCATTCCTAGACATAACAATTTGAATCAAGCTTCAGAGAAACTACCATTGAACTGACCATAATAAGAATTTTCTTTTCCAAGAGAATTAAATAATGTTTGAACAGATTAATGAACAAAGGAAATTACAAGGAATTAAGTTGAGCAGCAGAAAAGATAAAGAGCAGGATTGAGGGAACAAAAACAACAGAGACAGATCTATACCATGGAGACTGTTTGGAGGCTTGTTGATTGGCAAAGAGTATTCAACTCCATTAAGAGTAAACTTGCCATCTTTGATCCTGTTTGCCACCCTCCCCACAATGCAGCCAAAATAAGGTGCAGCACCTTGCTGGTCATACATAAATTAACCCAAGACATATTAAAAGAATCAAACAAAACCCCATTCACTAAATCAAAGAGACTAAAATGAGATATCTCAACAAGCCATCAATTTGTCACACAAATTACTTCCCAGCTCTCTCATCTAAAATTTTTCTTTCATTGTAAGAGATCAATACAGCCAGAAATTGATCATTGTCTATGTAAATTCCAAACATAATATTGAAAAGAGAAATCAAATGATTTTTCCATAGAAATAGGTTCTTTTATTTATCCCGACAAAACCCAATTCATTAAACAAGATGATAATCAAAATTAAATGCTTCCAAATTCAAATAAATAAAATAGAGAAGTATAGACAGAATTTACCATGTACGGTCCGACAGTGTCGAATCCCAGGACGACATCAGCTAATTGACCTTTAAAGTCAAGAAAAACCCATTGATCATTAAGAATTTAACGTTTAGATTTAAAAATAAATAAATAAATAATGATTAAATTTAACAAGAGAAAATAAAAATATAAACAAAAAAGAGAAGATTTTGATGCAGATACCGTTTTTGTCAGGAGCAGACAACGAAGTGATAGTGCAGCCATAGTTGGTGATCTGAACTCGTATGGTTCCATTGTTGAGTTCAAATATCTGCGGTTGCTTTGCCATTTGAGGGTTTTCTTCTTTTTTTTAAATGGAGATTTGACTTTCAGAGCATTCGGTACTTTGGTTTGGTTTGTCTACAAAGGAAACACTTCCATGTGTTGGAATGTCTTACGTCATTTTTCTTATCCTTATTCCTTATTGCATGCCACGTATTCGTATTTCCTACCCTTTGTTTTTCCGATTAGTAATTATCCAAACAAATCAGATTTTTTAAATCTTACTAATTACAATTATTATGTGATTTTTTATTTGTTCAAATATTTTTTTCAAAAAGTATTAATTTTATAAAAATATTAATAATTTAAAATTAATTACTTCAAGCCCATCAGACTTTGACTTATGTTGTGTTTGGATTGAAGAAAAGGAAAGAAAAAAATAATGAAAAAATTTTTTTTTTCATTATTTAGATAAACTTAAAAAAGTGAAAGAACTGAAAACTTAATAATTTTATTTTTATGAAAAATATTTTTATTAATACTACTTAAACTTAGTCTCATCATGGTTATCTTAAAAATTTTTTCGATCAATTCTATTTTCTTTAAGTTTTACATGTTTCTTTTAATATAAAGATTGTTGATAAAAAATTATTTTGGTAATTTAAATTTTTATGAATGATTAAACATGAATAGATATATATATATATATGATAACTTTTTTTAGATGTATGTACTTATTTTTTGATATTCACAACTTCACAGTTTTTTATCTTTTAGATATTTATTTCTTGCCTTTGTTTATGTTGAATCGAATAATGTATCATTATTAATCTTGTAAAATCATAAAAAAATTTAAAGGTTTGTGGTTCTTTGTTTTTGTGTTAAAAAGCTGTAATTTTTTATCTAAGATTCAGTTAATATTTTTACGAGATGTCAGATCACTACCTCACAATTTTTAGCTTAAGCTTAATGATTTTAATACATTAGATAATTACTTGGTGTCTAATCAGGTTGGGGTATGCCTTTTGAGATTTGACAATCTATGTTTCTAGAGGTGGAAAAAAAATGCTATTTTCAATGTTATTGGAACCATTAGATCATAGAGAGTGAGAAAATAAGCTTAGTTAGCTAAAACATGGGATATTTTAAAAATCTAATAAAACGAGCATCTAGAACAACTAACTTTAACTTATGATGCAAAATAGTAGATGCAAATAGAATCATAAATGACCTCAAAAAATGATATAGTTGTTGAAACCAATTTTCAATTTTAGAAGAATTCTTCAAAACCAAACTCAACATCACATTAGATTTGATTTTATAACTAACACCTTTTACAAAGATGATTTCTTTTTACAAGTATTCTATATAATATAACAATTTATATAACTTCACAGTTTATAAATATTTTATAATTTTTCAAGCCTTAACAACAAAATAAGCCAAATTATCATCAAATAAATTAAAAGACTAAATTAAACATAAAATTAAGAGTAAATCAATAATTAACTATTATATCTTATCGTATTAAATATACTCAATTTTATTCAAAAAGATTTGCTTGATTTTCATAAGTGTAGCCATAACATCTTTCATATTTTTTCTTTCTTTAGATAACTCAAATGAACAATCCAAAGCTAACTCCATAATGAATAAAATACAACTTGCTTTAACAATAAAGTCTTGTCCTCTTTTCTTACTCTAGATCACCGTAGTATTAAGAAACATGTGTTCTAAGAAATTATTTATAAATTTCTTTATAATAAAGGAAAGAGTCAATTTATTTATAAATTTATATCATCACCTCATGAATCTAACTAGTATTAAGAAACACGTGTTCTAAGAAATTAGCTTGCAAGTTGCAATAGTAGATTGTAGATAAAAACCAAGTATTAGAGAAGATAACTGGCTTGGTTTTAGCTTATGCTGAAAATATTAATGGGCTGGGTTTGTTATTTTCGATGGTATATTAAATTTATATTAATTTTAGTTATAGTAATAAAAATTTAATAATAAAAAAATGGATAAAACTAAACAAAGTAGATATTTAGTTTTAGTTATATTGAATAATGTTTTTTTTACTTAAGTGTTTATACATATGATTTATTTTTGATTTGTTGTTAGCTATTAAATAAACACATTATTTTCTATGAATGTGCACTACTATTAACTTGTTTCATACAAGAATATATATACAATGTAAGTGTATTTATTTTTATATACAACAACATATATATAATGTAAGTGTATTTATTTTTATGAAAATAATAATTGTTGTTAATATTTTGTAATCATAGATGGATAAACAAAGAAATAAGACAATGATTGAGTATATGTGAAAAAAAAAGTCATCAAAGCACAATTGTCTACATTATGTGTTTAGCTCTTTATTGGTATACATAAAAAATGATCACAAAAAAAGTTATTAATTATTGTATGAGTCTAGAAAGAGATCATGTTATAGATGAAATAATGAATCAAATTATCGGTAATGAGAAAGGTAGAGATATTATAGGAATGGGACCTAAAACTTTTCTAGATTTATATGCAATACTAAAAAAATATGGTGGTCTAGAACCAACAAGACGAGTTACAATGGAAGAACAAGTTGTTAAAACTCTTTTTGTATTATCTCATCATGCAAAAATAGATAGATTCAATTTTGGTTTAGACATTCAGGAGAAACAACTAGTCACCATTTACTTTGTGTTTGAAAAGCTATAATAGAGTTAAAGCAGAGATTTCTTCAACAACAAAATGGCTCACATATTCCGGCTAAGATACTTTGCAATTAATAGATTCTTCCGATATTTTAAGGTAAGAAATTATTAGTTACTTTAATTAATCACATGTTTATTTTATATTCAATAAGTATCAATATATAAAATCAATAGCAGGTTTGTGTAGGAGTTATTGATGGAACACATATTAGAGTTATGGTATCAAATATAGATGCTCCAAAATATCATGGTAGAACAGAGTACCCAACACAAAATGTATTGGCAACATGTTCATTTGATTTAAAATTCACTTATGTATACCTAGATAGGAAGGTACTACGTTTGACTCAAGAATTATGAAAAATGCACTATAAAAAAAACATAGACTTATGATTCTAAAAGGTGATGAATATATTATATTTAATTTATAGCTACATATGAGACTGAAATAATGATATGGTTACAAATTTGAATAGGTAAATATTATCTTGTTAATATTGAAATTATGTTGAGAAGCAGATTGATTGCACTATATAGAGGGGTATGATATCATTTGAAAGAATATACAACTAACCCTCTAAAAAATTCTAAGGAATTATTCAATTTTAGGCATATAACTTTGCGTAATGCAATTGAAAGAGCATTCGGTATCCTAAAAAAAGATTTTTCATTATAGCAAGCACAAATGCACTAACATATGGAGTTAGAACCTAGAAAGTAACAAATTTTAGCTTATTGTATTTTATATAATTACTTAATAACAGTAGATCTCGATGATGCTTTTATTGATGAGATTGATTGTGAACTAAATCTAAGTCTACTGGATAAGAGTATTATGCTCCTAAAAATGAGAATGAAGATGCTGCTTAAGAAGAACAATTAAGAGATTCTATAGCTAATGCTATGTGGATAGATTATAGAAATTGAACAATTATTATTACTTGTGTATTTTCTTGATTTTATATTTGCTTTATTTGAAAGAAATATATTTCTTTGATTAAATAAATATTATTTTATTTGAACAATTAAAGTACTTATTTTTCAATTACTTATTTAATTGTTATTATAATTTTTTGCCTTTTTTATTTTGTAAATTTAATTATGCTGAGAAAGAAAAAAATGATTACAACTAATAAAAGTGATAAAGGGACAAATAAGGATGATGTTTTAACATGGACACCAATAATGGATGATACTTTTGTTGATGTATTTTTTAATCAACATAATATGGGGAACAGGGTAAATGGAACTTTCACTAAATATGCCTATGATAATATAGTCATTAAGCTAAAAAAAAAATTTATTAGAGACATAGAGAAGGAAAAAGTGAAAAACCGTTGGAAAACTATAAAAACTAATTTCTCAAAGTGTTATAACTTGTTCAAGTAAGGAATGAGTGGATTTTCTTGGAATTTAGTTATTAAATTATGGGGTGTTGAACCTAAAGTTCAACAGAGATTGATTGAAGTAAATTTTATTAAAATCAATATTTAATTATTATTTTATTAACTATTTTACATTTTATCATTTATATTCTCGCAATATAATATGTATAAATTTTTAGGCACATTTTCATGCCTAAGAATGAATGACTAAACTCATTCCAAATTATGACAAGATGATGATTCTTTATGGTAATGATTGAGCCACTAGGGAGCATGTTGAGACTACAATAGAAATGAGACGAATGGAGCAATATTTTAGAACTAATGATGAATTAAGAGAAATTATTGATGATATTGATAATTTAATCTCCCAAAACAAGGTAACATTGGAGAATGATGATATTTCGAGTGAGGAGTACATTGATCTCATTACATCCCTTCAGGCTCATTTTAAAAATCCTATCGATCTTTCGAGTAGTTCAATGAATAAAAGAGCTAAAAAATCAAAAGATAACAAGTATGATGAACTTATTTGAGAAGGGTTTGAAATAGTTGCTAATGCACTTACTGCAGGAAATGCTATTTATGAAAAGATCAATACTCGTGTTGATCGAATTTTGAAAAATGAAATATGGAATCCATTAGAGTAGATAGGAATTGACTCACAACTAATAACCACTACTTACCTATATTTTATTGATAATCTTGAGAAAATAAGAGTAGTACTTAGATGCCCATGGGATAAAAAGAAATGAGGTTGTTGAAAAGTTGGTACTTGGTTCATCTAGTCATTAAAGATGTTAAAAATGTCTTTGCTAAATAAATTTTTTAATCTATTGAGATTTTTTTTTTCATAGGGTAAAAATATTTATTTTTTATTTTGGTAAAATAAATTTATGTTAAATAACTATATGGTGATATGCTATTACTTTTTTTCTGGTGCAAAAAAGGAATCTAGTTCGCTAGTATGAAATGTTTTATGTGATTGCATATTTTCTTATCTAAGAGCTTTTATATGAATACTAAAGGCTTGATTTACTTCAAAATTCTCAATCTTTTG